TGTTTCTTTTTAACATATGATATGGGTTTTTTTAAGATTTATTTATTTGAAAGTTAGAGTTACACAGAGAGAGAAGGAAAAGCAGGGAGAGAGAGGTCTTCCATCCGCTGGTTCATTCCCCAGTTGGCTGCCACAGCTGGAACTGTGCTGATCCAGAGCCAGGAGCTTCCTCCAGGTCTTCCTGCAGGGGTGCAGGGGCCCAAGGACTTGGGCCATCTTCTGCTTTCCCAGGCCACAGCAGAGAGCTGGATCAGAAGTGGAGCAGCCAGGACTCAAACCAGCTCCCATATGGGATGCTGGCACTGTGGGTAGTAGCCTTACCCACTACATCACAGCACCTGCCTCTGTTTCCTTTTAATACCATAAGAAACTTAAACCATTTTCCATAGTGGATGTACCATTTTTCAGTCCACAAGCAATGTGGGAGTTTTTGCACATGTTTTTTCACAATGTTTGAAGGTTTTACACATCCTCCTCAACACTTGATATTGTCATCTTTTGAACGTTAGCCATTCTGGTAGTTGTGTTATTGTAGTTTAATTTGCATTTCTCTAGTAAATAATGGGCTTATTAGACATTCACGTGTCTTGGTAACATTTCAACTCCCCAGTTTCTTGCTAATTTTTTCAGTTGATTTGTCTGCCTTATTATTGAGTAGTAAGAAGTCTATATACTGCATAAGGCCTATTTTCAGATAGAGTAAAAGTTTAGCAAACATTTTTCTCGTGTGTTTATTTTGAAAATTCATTTGGAAGGCAAAGTGACAGAGACAGACAGGTACCTTCTAGTCCATGCACAGACAAAATCGCTGCAAGGTCAGGACTGGGTCAGGGTGAAGCCAGGAGCCCCAAACTCAGCCCAGGTTTCCCACGTGGGTGGCATGGATCTGAGTACTGCATTGTCACCAGCTGCCTGCCAGGGTGCGCGTTAGCAAGAAGCTGAAATCAGACTCACCCCAAGCACTGTGATGCAGGATGCAGGTTTCCCAGGTAGCTTACAAACCCTGCCCCCAGGATCCCATTTTTGTAGTTTTGAATTTGACGAGGCCCATTAGCATTTTTTATTTATGAATTGTGCAACAAAGATTTTATACTATTCTAGAAGTTGTGCAGTCTTCATAGTGTCAGCCCTTGTTTTAAGGCTATGATCCATTTCAATTTTTGTGAAGAATAATGTGAGAAAGTTCAGTGTGTGTGTAATTGTTCCAGCCTCGCTGATTTAAAAGACTTCTTCGGCCGGCGCCGTGTCTCACTTGGCTAATCCTCTGCCTGCGGCGCTGGCACCAGGGTTCTAGTCCCGGTTGCTCCTCTTCCAGTTCAGCTCTCTTCTGTGGCCTCGGAGTGTAGTGGAGGATGGCCCAAATGCTTGGGTCCCTGCACCCGCATGAGAGACTGGGAGGACGTACCCGGCTCCTGGCTTCGGATCGGCACAGGGCCAGCTGTAGCAGCCTTTAGGGGAGTGAACCAACGGAAGCAAGACCTTTCTGTCTACCTCTGTCTCTCTCACTGTCTAACTCTGCCTGGCAAAAGAAAAAAGAAAGACTTCTTCGCCCTGACTTTCCTTTGTCAAAAATCGAATGATCATATATTTGTGGCTCTATTTATAGACTCTTTTGCTTCATTGACATAAATGTCCTGATGCTAATGCCAGTTTACAAGATCAACTGAGCTTTATGATAATAAGCTGGTGTTTTCTAGAATGACTTATCTTTTCCTCCTTTGCTCACATGACGCAGAAAGCCAGCACCAAGTAAAACTGGGTAAAATAATTGGGTATCACCAGGCGAATATCCTGTGCTGGCTTCACTATCTGGATATAAAAGACATCCTGTATCTTTTCCACAACTTTTCTTCTGCTTTTAGAGGGCAGATCTTGTATAAGTTCCATATTCCAAGGGAAGACTTTGTGAATGATATGTTTATTTTGCTTTTTTGCCTGACAGAAGGAAAGTAAGGCTCCTCCTGCCTTGATACCCCTTTCCAAAAACTCAGGATTGTAGGAGAGGCATAATTTCTTCTTTTTTTTTAAATATTGGTCTTAAAAATCTCAAGTTATGACTACATGTAAGCTGATGAACACTGTTAACTTACATTAAAAGAGAAAAGAAAGTGTTATCTGTATTCAAGGGAATTGAAGAGTCGTATGTTGAAAAGCATTCATCACCCAACATCTTAGAGACTTGTATTTATAATAGACTATCATTAAAGGAGAAAAAACAGAGGCAATCAAATCTTTGAAATCATGCCCAGAATGCTCATTTGGCCCTTAAGTTTATAGGTATTTCTATTACTACTATTTTTACAGAAGGTTCTAAAGTTTGCTAATAGCAGTATGTAAGTGTATATATTAAGAATTACCAATGTGTATTTAGAATTAGCAATAATACTAATTACTACCTCAGTTATTGCATCTGTAAAAGACTCCTTGACTTGTGCAGCATATCTTCCTACCAAGTTCATCAGGAGTGTCTTGACTTTATCATTTTCATTTAATTTTAGAATCAGCTACTAAGTTCCACAAGAATGCATATTGGGATATTGAGTATGACTTCACATTGGAGAAAACTGACATCTTTAAAATAGCTTCCAGTGCACTAACTCAGTATGCCTCTGTATGCTTAGGTAATCTTTGTCTAATGCCATAAATCTGTGTAGAGTTCTTAGACATTTTTTTTTTATTTGCTGTTGTGCATGGGACATTGCTATTCTAAGTGCATTTAAATTTAAATTAAAATTAAATTTAAATTTTGTGAGCTGTTTGAGGTTAGAGTTTATAAATAAAATTGAGCACGGAAGGCAGGTGCCAGCATTGTGGCAAAGTGGGTTAAGCTGCTCCCTGTGGTGCCAGCATCCCGTATGGGTGCCAGTTCAAGACCCGGCTGCCCCACTTCCAATTGGGCTCCCTGCTATTGTACCTGGGAAAGCAACAGAAGAAGGCCCCAGTGCTTGGGCCCCTGCACACACGTGGGAGTCCCAGAAGAAGCTCCAGGCTCCTGGCTTTGGCCTGACACAGTCCCAGCCTTAGCAGCCCTTTCGGGAATGAACCAGCAGATGGAAGATTGTCTTTCTTGCTCTCTCTTTTTTTCTCTCTCTCCCCTTCTATGTAACCCTGACTTTCTAATAAATAAAAATAAAAAGATAAATAAAATATGCTGGTGCCGCGGCTCACTAGGCTAATCCTCCGCCTAGTGGCACCGGCACACAGGGTTCTAGTACCGGTCGGGGCGCTGGATTCTGTCCCGGTTGCCCCTCTTCCAGGCCAGCTCTCTGCTGTGGCCAGGGAGTGCAGTGGAGGATGGCCCAAGTCCTTGGGCCCTGCACCCCATGGGAGACCAGGATAAGCACCTGGCTCCTGGCTTTGGATCAGCGCAGTACGCCGGTCACAGCAGCCATTGGAGGGTGAACCAATGGAAAAGGAAGACCTTTCTCTCTCTCTCTCTCTCACTGTCTACTCTGCCTGTCAAAAAATAAATAAATAAATAAATAAATAAATAAATAAATAAATAAATAAAATTGTGCTTTGCATCTTGACATTTAGTGACCTTGCTGAACTCAGAAATTTCGGTAACCCCACTGCTAATTGATATTGGGCATTGCCTAAAATAGTCCCTGACAACATGGCACCTGGCGAATGTTCGGGGGGCCGTGTTTGTGGCCGCTGTGGTTAAGCCACCCGAGATCGGACCACCTGCAGGGATAGGTCCACTTTAGTTCCGGACACGTGGACAGTGCATGATCCCTATATGCCCCTGTGCATGGTCCACCCACGCCTGCATGACCTTTTCACTGATTGGCTCCCCTACTGCGCATGTCTTTTGTAAGCTTTATAAGCCTGTACACTTCCTCAATAAAGTAGTTCCTGCTTCAACAGAACTCACCGCTGCTTGTGGTGTGTACTTGACCCATCGACCTTACCTCTTCCGTTCTCCTCGTTGGGGAGGGCCTGTGCTGTCCCCTGCTGGTCAGGGGCCAGCCTCAGGCTTAAGACCCCAACAGACTGACTGCCGTGCCAGAGGTCCACAAACCGGCCTGTGGCCAGATGCAATCCTCAGCCTATTTTTTCAGGCCAAGAATGGTATTTACCTTTTCATAAAAATTATTTTAAAAAAAGTAAGTGTTCTATGGAAACAGCATTTGGGCTGCAAAGGCAGAATATGTATTGTCTGCACTTGTAGAGAAAAAAATGACACAGGGCTACACAAACTTTCTTGAGCAGCATCCGTTTTATAGTCTCTTTCAAATCTGTATTTTGTTTTTCTTCCTTTACTGCTTTGGCAAAAAGCTATGGTGTTAAAGAGAAATGATTGCTGGATTTGTCTCCATATCAAGGAGCAGCTTTGGGGCAGGTTAAGCTGCCTCTTAAGATGCTGATCTTCACTTCCAATCCAGCTTCTTGCACTCATAGATGGTGGCCCAAATATTTGGGACCCTGCCACCCACATGGGAGGTTCAGAAGAAGCTCCCAGCTCCGGGCTTCAGCCTGACCTGGACCTGGTTGTGGGCGTCTGGGTGGTGAACCAGTAGATGGAAGGGGTGTGTGTGCACCTGCGTCCCTCCCTCCCTGGCACTCTTTTGAGTAACTACATCCTTTAGGAAAAAAGCTTTATAGTTACGTATGATGTTTTTATCAGAACAAAAATTCTATTTCCTAGTTTTCTAAGAATTTTAATCATAAAGTTGTGGAAAAAAAAAACAAACAGGCAATCCAGAAATCCAAGTTGGAACAGTCACAAATAATTGACACCCGGGGGCAGTAGTTGTGAAGTAAATTTTCTTAAGTTCCTAAGGCACCTATGTCCTGTTAACTTTCCACTTGCAATCTGTTAAACCTGTAACTGTCGTATCACTCAGTACCTCCTCCTTTTCTATAGTTAAAAATGCATAAGTAGATTCCTCAAACTAAGATGTAATGATCCTGTCCATCTCCGTTTCAAGTGACCAGAGTATATGGAAAAGTTTAAAACTGTGCTCTATAGCAGAAATAATAGGCAGGAAATCCACTTGTATTAACTTATTCATGTAAAATTTATTAAAAACTTGAGGTTTTTATGTGACCTCTTGTATTTAATTACCCAGATAATCTTAAATAAGTTTTTTGGGAAGTTGCTGTACTAGGAGGTTAGGTTTATTCTAGATATGTAGGTTGTTTCTGCACACTGCCTTCTCCAGCACGTAAAAGAAGTCTTTTTGCCAATGCAATTTCTAGCAACGACACTCATATTTTGAAAGGCATTTTGTTTGACTTAGTCCCATTTTAATATCCCCTTAAAAATTTTCACTGATGACTCTGGATATTCAGCCAAGAGTGTTGCCTCAAAAACTTGCTTGAATTTATCTAAAAATTCATAATCAGTGCTGAATCTGAACTTATTTGCCCACAGCAGCACTGTCCCTGGCTGAGCAAGGTACACCATGGTGGAAAGCAGTTTGTCCAGGAAGTAGTGGTGATAGACCACGTCAGAAGCCAGAATGTAGTCGTAGTAACTTGTGCACTTGGGGAAGTTGTGCTCCAGGTCTTCCCCCCATACCAGTTCTCTCACTTCAGGTAGATGTGCGGTGCGTTTTAATGTGTTCTTCAGGAGATTATACTGGAGGTTTCCTAGGACATCAGGCAAATCTGTTGCTGTGACTTGAGCTCCTGTGAGAGAAAGAGAGAAATAATAATTCCCTGGGAATACTCGTGCAGACATAGTGTACTCAGAAGGGCACACATACTGGAGAATTGAGAGGCTCAGCCTTGGCCCCCTAGGCAGGCAGGCTACATGCATTTAACATACTTCAGGCTGGGGCCTGGCAGGGAGACCTCCTTGTGCACTGTAAGGGGATTAGCAGCCTCCTAGACTCTATGCAACAGATGTCAGTAGCACCCCACTTCTCCCACCCCAGGCATTATAATCAGCAGGAATTCAGAGTTCTGCCCCTGGACTCCGAAGCCCATCATAGGGAAACTGGGTGGACTGCAACAGTCCCTTAACCTAACACTGAAGTGTCTTGTCTTTCTGGATAACAGGAACAATTCCTGCTGTGTGATATCTTGGGTGGATTCACAGAGTGAATTCCAAACACGTAACTTGTCATCTAGCAAGCACTCACTATCATTGCCGCAGTAAAGGCCTCTTGAAACAAGATCAGGAGTAAACAAACCTAAGATACTGGCCACAATGGAAACAAGTCCTGGTCCAGCACCAATTTCAAGAATTTTAGCATCTTGGAGATTCAGCTCCTGTGCGTGTTCCTCCAAATACTGACACAAAGCAGTAGCCTAAAAGACATTTACCATTTTTGTAGTTGGAATGTTGGAAGCCGTAGTGACCCACTCTGCTACTCTATGTTAAATACAAAAAAAAAAAAAAAAATGTTATTAATTACTTTCAGTTTGTCGGAGGGTTCAACATTCAGTGCCCTATCTAAGCCCCTGGAATATAAAAAATTGCAATAATTTGCACCTAAGAGATTCAGTTGTTAAATTGCCTATGTCAGATTTGATCAATATAAAAAATTGGGTCAGTAGATCAGCTTGGCTCTTACAAAGCAGGAAAAAACTGGGTGAAAGTTTCTACTGGTTTAGTCAGACTGGGTTCCACTCTGAACAAATGTGAATCTCCCTCTCCTGACTCTTACCAAAGCTCAAGTTTGTTAGGGTTTTGCCATATTAGACAACTGAGCAGTATATTTTATTTTAAGAGATTGATCTAAGAGATGCTCAAACTCAGAACAAGCTTCTGAAAATTTAATGTGCCAACAAACACCCTGAATAGCCCATTGTAGACCAGATCTTTCAGTGGGTCTGGGTTGAGCTCCAGATTCTGCACATCTAAAACAGCCCCCAAATGATGTCAATCTGCTAACCAATGGACAACACTCTGAGCATAAAATATTACTATATGTGAAAACGAATGTCTCATTGCTCCTATATTCATTCACTTTTGCACCTTCCATAACTATTCTACAAAGAGATAAAGGATACTTGATTTCAGTTGATTCATGAAGTGTTTCCATTTATGCCATTGAGGTATCTGCTAGCCGTGCCCTGGTTTAAAGAGAGTAGGTAGGTGAGAGACGGTTACTTAAATTTCAATATATATAGCCTAGATCTGGGGATATGAACCCAGAGTTTTTAAAACTTGAGCTCTGTCTGCTTATACATTTAGGCCAGGACTGAAAATATGCCCACATTGTCCTCTGGACCTTTCTTTCTGTTTGGGATCTATGTTGGAATAGACATCCAGCATGAATTGGGATGTGCTGATCTTATGATTGCCAATGGTAGTATCAATAGCATGCCTGTCCCTGTAAGTCACTCCATTTCATCCTTGTCTGGTCCTTTTGACAGATACATGCAAACATGAACACAACTCAATCATCTCTCGAGTCAAGGTACTCAGCGGCAGCACTTGGGACATGTCAATATAACTATAAGCTATGTTTCTGTTGAAGTGTCAGAATGGAGGTATACCCTGGGTACCAGAGCAGGGACATGATGGAGGCCACTGATGTGTCAGGGCCAACTTTCTGGTGCCACATGTGGAAAGATGAGGGGGAACTGATGACAAACAGCAGGAGCGGCACCACAGCAGGTCAGGGCAGCAGGTGAGACAGCAACACAGGTGGGAATAACACCAAACTGCAGCACATCATGAGCGTCAGTCTCAAGGAAGTTGAGGAAAGGGGCTGCGTGGTTCTTCAGGAGGGGAAGTGAACCCTTACATATGTGGGCTTTCGATATTAGGATGAGAATGTCACCCAGGCCACCCAAAGGACGTGTTTTCAGGACGTGTTTGATATTAGGATGAGAATGTCACCCAGGCCACCCAAAGGACGTGTTTTCAGCTATCTTTGGCTGTGGCTTCCTGCCTGGAGTGTCCCACACTGTGAGGCAGTGACCCCAGTGGGTATCATCTGGAGACAGCTTTTCTCAAGAACAGCTATGTCATTCAACACTGGAAATGCATTCCCCACTAGTTTAGCCCTGCTGGCAAACTTTGACGTGGCCTCTTTCGCAGGGAACAGCAATTGAAGCCTTATAAAAAAGGGTCTCTTCCCACGTTATGTACCTCTATATGTGTCTTTGGGGAAACTGAAGTCCCAAAAGAGGTAAGAATTTGGTGCCTGGAAGGCTGGGGCCTTCTGAGAGTAAAATAGTCCAGAGGACAAACGTTCTTTTACAATTCCTGATCTCTAATACTATAGCTGTCTCTTTACTAAATGTATTATGACAGAAAACTTTGAAGTAGGTAGGTGATTTTTTAGATGTTAAGACAAGGAAAAGCCCTTGAAACATTACATTCATATACATAAGATTTGAAATTGAGCTTCACTGGGTGGAGGTGAGAGGATGGGGTTAAAAGAACCTGAAGCTCTTTAATTCCCCTTCTTCCCACTCATTAGACACTGCCAATGTCAGACACCTACTCATGAAAGCTCCGTGCTCCATGCTTCAGGCTCCAAGGAACCAGTAGTCATGAATGCTCCATGCTCAATGGAACCTGTAGACATGACTGCTCCAAACTCCATGGAACCTGTAGTCATGACTGCTCCATGTCCCATGGAACCTGTAGACATGACTGCTGCAAACTCAATGGAACCTGTAGTCATTGCTCCATGTCCCATGGAACCTGTAGTCATGTCTTCTCTGTGTTCCATGTAACCTGCAGTCAAGACTGTTCCATGCTTCATGGAACCTGTAATCATGACTACTCCATTTTCCATGGAACCAATAATCATACTGTTCCATGTTCTATGGAACCTGCAGACATGATTTCTCCATGTTCCATGGAACCAGTAGTCATGACTGCTGCATGTTCTATGGAACCTGTAGACATGACTGCTCCAAACTCCATGGAACATGTAATCATGACTGCTCTGTGTCATGGAACCCGTAGACATGACTGCTCCATTTACTATGGAACCTGTAGACATGTCTGTTCCATGTTTCATGGAACCTGTAGTGATTACTGCTCCATACTCCATGGAACCTATAGTCATGCCTGCATGCTTCATGGAACCTGTAGTCATGAATACTCCATATTCCATGTAACCTCTAATCATGACTGCTCTGTCTTCCATTCAACCTGTAGTCAAGACTGCTCCATGTTCCATGGAACCTGTAGTCATGACTAGTCATGTTCTATGGAGCCTGTAGTCATGACTGCCCCATGTTCCATAAAAGCTATAGACATGAATGCTCCATGCTCCATGGAAGCTGTAGTCATGACTGCTCCGTGCTCCATGGAACCTGTAGTCATGACTGCTGCATGCTCCAGACCCTGTAGTCATGACTGCTCTGTGTTCCATGGAACTGGTAGTCATGACTGCTCCATGCTCCATGGAACCTACAGTCATGACTGCTCTGTGTTCCATGGAACTGGTAGTCATGACTGCTCCACGCTCCATGGAACCTGTAGACATGACTGCTCCATGCTCCATGGAACCTGTAGTCATGACTGCTGTATGCTTCATGGAACCTACAGTCATGACTGCTCTGTGTTCCATGGAACTGGTAGTCATGACTGCTCCACGCTCCATGGACTCTGTACTCATGACTGCTCCATGCTCCATGGAACCTGTAGTCATGACTGCTGTATGCTTCATGGAACCTACAGTCATGACTGCTCTGTGTTCCATGGAACTGGTAGTCATGACTGCTCCATGCTCCATGGAACCTACAGTCATGACTGCTCTGTGTTCCATGGAACCTGTAGTCATGACTGCTGCATGCTCCAGACCCTGTAGTCATGACTGCTCTGTGTTCCATGGAACTGGTAGTCATGACTGCTCCATGCTCCATGGAACCTGTAGACATGACTGCTGTATGCTCCAGACCCTGTAGTCATGACTGCTCTGTGTTCCATGGAACCTGTAGTCATGACTGCTCCATGTTCCATGGAACCTGTAGTCATGACTGCTCCATGCTCCATGGAACCTACAGTCATGACTGCTCTGTGTTCCATGGAACTGGTAGTCATGACTGCTCCACGCTCCATGGAACCTGTAGACATGACTGCTCCATGCTCCATGGAACCTGTAGTCATGACTGCTGTATGCTTCATGGAACCTACAGTCATGACTGCTCTGTGTTCCATGGACCCTGTACTCATGACTGCTCTATGTTCCATGGAACCTATAGCCATGACTGCTCTGTGTTCCATGGACTCTGTACTCATGACTGCTCCATGCTCCATGGAACCTGTAGTCATGTCTTCTTTGTGCTCCATGGAACCTGTAGGTATGACTTCTCCATGTTCCATGGAAACTAGTCATATCTGCTACGTGCTTCATGAAACCTGTATTCATGACTGCCCGGTGCACCATGAGCCTCTAATCGGGACTGCTTAACTTGGGTCGCTGGAAAAGTAAATGCATCACTCTGGAGAGTTTGTAAGAAATACAGATTCAGAGCTACCGCCACCACCTTCCTGCTCCAGACCCCCTGAATCAGAATCTGCATTTAAACAAGAGCTCAGTATGACTCACAATGACTCTGAAATTCTTACCAGAGTCTTTCTTAACATATTCTGACAAACTCTCTGCAGAGGGAAGATCCATGGTGCTGTACCAAGTGTGCTTCAAGAGAACAGTGTTACCCAACTGACCAAGTTTTCTTATTCTCCATCTCGGCTGTGCAGTGAACAATTTATCACATTAATAATTGCAGTTAGTATGTGCTTACCAGCAGCACTTCATTTAATGCTCACAATCAGGTCTAGAATAGACAGTAACGCTACCCCATATTTTAAATATGGAAACAAGGGCAAATGGAGATGCAGTGGAATCTGTGACGACACAGCCTTGAAATAGCAGACTTTCGGGGCTGGTGGTATAGCAGGTAAAGCTACCACCTGCAGTGCCAGCATCCCATATGGCACCAGTTCAAGTCCCGGCTGCTCCACTTCCAATCCAGCTCTCTGCTATGGCCTGGGAAAGCAGTAGAAGATGGACTAAGTCCTTGGACCCCTGTGCCCGCATGGGAGACCCAGAAGAAGCTCCTGGCTCCTGGCTTCGGATCGGCGCAGCTCTGGCCATTGCGGCCAAATGGGGAGTGAACCAGTGGATGGAAGACCTCTCTCTCTGCCTCTCCTTCTCTCTGTGTATAACTCTGACTTTCAAATAAATAAATAAATAAATCTTTTTAAAAAAATAGACTTTCTGGCTCTAAATTCAGACCCCCCCCCATTTCAGCACCATCCTCAGAGAGCAATTGTGAGGTACCCTGAAATGAAACACACTTCCCAAATGTACTTACACCATGGAAAAGAGACGGAAAAGGCTGAGGGCCAGTGGGTGTGACCCAAAGGTGCCTATTGCAAAGGCTAAACTAAATTCCTGTTTCTTTTACAATTCCTGTGAACTCTATAGCCTACTTCTCAATATTCTCAAAACTATTTAACTCAAAAATGTTTCAAGCAGAGGCCAACATTGTAGAACAGCAGGAAAAGCCTCCACCTTCAACCCTGGCATCCCATATGGGCACCATTTCATGTTGCAGCTGCTCCATTTCCAATCCAGCTCCCTGCTAATGTGCCTGAGAAAAGCAGTGGAGGATGGCCTGAGTACTTGGGCCCCTGCTATACACATGGGAGACCTGGAAGAAGTTCATGGCTCCTGACTTCAGCCTGGCCCAGCCCTGGCCATTGTGGCGATCTGGGGAGTGAACCAGCAGATGGAAGATCTCTTTTCCTCTTATCTCTTCCTCTCTATAAACTGGACTTTCAAATAAATTAATTAATAGAAACAAATGTTTCAAACAACACAGCATAAAATAAAACCAATGCTTCTGGAAGAAATCTCTGTTTCTGCTAATCCAAAGCACACCGCCATCACCCCTGCAGTGGGGGGCAAGGTGGACAGATGATTGATTGTCAATTTGAGAAACAAAGCACTTGGCAGATGGCCCAAGGCAACACATGTGCATGAAATTATTTTCTCCAGAAATCTTGACTTCACCAGTGTAACGGTTCTCTCACCCCTGGCCACACCACTGCTCCGTAACTCTCTATGGATTCTTGAATGATGATCTTCTTGCCAGCAAAGCAGTAATGCTCCTGAGTGTAGCTGGCATAGTCTGTAGGGACGAATTTCTGGAGGTTGTGGAGACATGGTTCCATCTCCTTGGAATCTGAGAAGCAGGAAAACAAAATGGGTTTCATGATTGTTGATCCAGTACAAATGCACACAGATGGGAAATAGATTCAGCCAACTCTCCTAAGCAGAGGGCGGAAGCTTTCAGTGGTAATGGCTGCAAATTAGCACAAAAACTCTGGGGAAAGTGCATGACATTCTGATGTGGCATTTTTATCTGTGGTTTCAGGCTCTGCAGCTTCAGTTACAGTCAACTGTGGTCTGAAAACATTAAATGGAAAATCTCAGGCATACAAGTTTTAAATAACCTTGATTAGTTTTAAATAATTCTATTTTATTATTAGTTATTGCTGTTAACCTTTTACTGTGCCTAGCTTATAAATTAAACTTTATTGTAGGTATGCACGTATAGGAAAAATAGTATATAGGTACTTAGTACATCCATGAACCCTATCTTGCAACACAGCCCTCGTTAGGAGGCTAGGAGTACATCCATGAACCCTATCTTGCAACACAGCCCTCGTTAGGAGGCTAGGAGGGCTGCTGTATGACAAAATGCCTAAGGATGCCCGGGGTCTCTCCTTTGTTTAGAAGACAGGAGAGGTATGGAGCCCTCCTCGCCCATGCTTTGATGTGGGGGGGGAGCCAGCTCACCAGCAAGGTGGCACACATGAGCTCTCTGGAGAAAGGAGGACCAGGGTAAACATGCACCTGACTATTTTTAGGTCTTGAAGTGAAGAAGCATTCCCACATGTTGGCTGGAATGTGCTCCTTAAGTCCTTCCTGCAACTGCCCCTCAAAAGGTACAGGCCACCCAAAGCTGAGCCAGCTCTGAGGCCTGGGGGAGGTTGTCAGATGAGCCCTGGCTATCAAGTTACTATTGCTTTAAATACTTCTTTAACCCATGACCCACTATCGCGGCTCTCAAATATCATATAAAATGGGAGGAAAAGGGCACCTGATTGGGGCTGACATCATTGTTGCAGGTGTTCCAGAGTATTTAAGAATAGAAAGAGCGGCGGGTGGAAATGTCAGGAGGATGCTGTTCCCCCTTGCCTGGGGGCCACCGAGAGCTCAGGGAAAGGTACAGGGACCAGCGTGGAAAGGAATTCACGGTGAGGACTTTGTAGACAGAAGAAGGTCAGTTTTACTTACAGGAAACCTACCTTTGTTGCCTGGGATGTGTCTGGCAGATATTTCCCCAGGGGTATAAAGCAATCAGTTACCATTTGAATGCTCTAAGCAGAAACACAGGTTGAAGGTGGGAGAGGAGGCAGGGGAGGAGGGTGGGAGTCAGAGAGAAGGGGAGTGGGCCTTGGAAGGAACTTAATCAGGAGCCCATGCCCCAGAGGAAGGCCCTGTGAGTTACTTCAAGCATCAGCAGCTTGAACAGACACCAGAGCAGCGCTGTGCAGCTGGCCCACACATTATAACAGATTCACAGCACATAAGTCCAGACATTGCAGTAACCACTGAGAAATATTTTCCACAATCTAACAATGCCTGTGGGATCTAATTACAAAACAACTGGGGATTATATTTCAATGCCTAGATTTTATTTTTCTAGAAATTAATTGTCAGTGTATTTTACCAAAGTATCAGAATTGGGCAGGCATTTAGCCCACTTGAGACAGCACATTCCATACCAGAGTGTCTGGGTTTGAGTCTCTGTTAACCTCTCCATTCAAGCTTCCTGTTAATGTGCAGCCTGGGTCCCTGCTGCCCACATGGGAGACCTGGAGTGGGTTTCTGGCACCCTGAGGGTTACTGTGCTGCACCATTTGAAGAGTGTCGCTCTTCTTGAGACCTGGGTCTTTCCTGAGCTTCCAAAAGTCTACTAATGAATAGGAGCCAATATCAGTCCTGACACTGTCCTTTCCTTCCACGTGTCCTGGAGGGGGTTGTAAGACAGCGGTAAGGTGCAAAGGGAAACCCATGACCTTCACCTGCCTCTTAATATGGCATACCATCGACATCTTACAGAACAGACCCTACATCTATGCATGGCCAAAGAGACCCTAGTTTCTACCATGGGACTAAGAGGCCGGCTCTGGATTCTGGGGCACAGCAACAGGAAGGAGGGGAATAGACAGCGGTGTGTTGAAACCCGTCTCCCAGCCTGTGCGGGGAGGAGGAAGAAGCACCGATTTACAGACTCTGACAATTGCCCTGGTGTAAATCTTCCTGCCTTGGCCAGTTCCAAATTAGCCACCTGATACGACCAGGAAAAGATGCACAGCTATACATACACCTTGTGTCGTTTTTCTACCACACAGACACAGTAGACACGAATAGCCTCAGAGCATAGATATTAGTCAATGCAGTACAGTAATTAGTCATGAGTTTTGAGTATTTATCACCTCAGTGTTGATAAACCTTTGCCTTGAATATGATCTATTTAGTTGTATGTTTGTACAGTCTCAAGTTTAACAATCATCATGTTCAACAACAAGCTTGCAAAATTCCTGAAATTCAGGCTCCAGGACAAACCATGTCTGGCTCCCAGCCCGGTGACGGGGATCAATCATCAGGCTCACGCCAACCCCTGCTGACTTCCCTCCCCACCCCAGCACTGCCAGACTGAGCCTTGTTCCCTTCCTGCCACATGTCACCACTTCTCTCCAGACTGTAGGAAACCTCAGGGGACTGATTCACAGGTGAATATACGCCAGATACTAAGCTTGACGGGTACACTGGCCCAATCAGCGTTGTGAAGAAACACGACATGAAAATATTCCCCTATAACACCCTGTCAAGTCCTACAAAGATAAAGAAAGCAGCGATTATTGCACTTGAAATATGTTCGTCTGTTGTGTCTAAGCTAGCCTGATAGTTTTAGAGAAAGCAGATTTTAGACATAAAATTTTTTATGTAATCAGTTCTGTTAAGATTTCTGATTAACAGACTCAGAACACACAGTTACACTTGAAGTGGCTGTAAAATGTTTTTCACGTTAGAGCTTGGCTTTTATGACGCTGTCGGTTGTCTTTGTTACTTATTCACTGCCAAATGTGTGCTCTGAAGCCCAACCCTAAACTGTTAACCTTGTCCCGATAGGAGAAGATCCTGTGATCTACAAGGATCTGCTGTGCCACAGAGCTGCCAGGAAGGCACACTGGCGAAAAGCAGAAACAAATCCAGCTTTCGTGTTTTTCTAAAGTTCTTGTTACAGAAACATAACAACACAAGAGAAAACACAAATTTGTGGACTTCGATAAGTTCACAATGAACAAGCCAGGGTTGCTTTTAATGCTATGTTTCCACTTGCTTAAAGGCATTTTTCTACTAAGCTTCATTACAGTAAAATCTAGAGTTAAAAGGAAATGGAACTTCTTGTCGCTGAAGTTTACTTGAACATGCCATCACCAGGAAAGCGAGTGAGGAAAATGGCTGAGGTGCTGAAGATGGCTAGGTTTACCTCCTGGGGATCCCCCGGTGCCATCGTCCTGGACAGTCCCCTCCTCGGCTGCCTCTAGCCGGCCTGCTGCCTCCCCCAGGCACGCGGGCTGCTGCGCGGAGCTCAGACACACGTCCATGCCCTGAGCCTGCTGAGAGAAAGAACTGGACAAGACCCGAGTTGCCCAGCCCAAGTGGAGGCTGACTCTCCCCAAGGGCTGCAGAACAGAAGCTTATCGCCTTAGCATCTGCTGAGCCGGAAAGAACGGCTGCCTTTCAGCTTAGCTCCCTGGGCAGGCAAGGCAGTCACCGAAGGAGCTGCGGTCCCGCGTTTGCAGAGCACGGTATGGGGAGACCATTAAACATCACCCAGCCTGTGTGCATGGGAAAATGCAAAAGCAGCCGTGGTAGCCTGGAAGCGAGCATGGTGTGGCTCAGGAGGTGGCAGCAGGTTTTCAAGGTTTTGTAAATTTGTATTTTGCCACTTCCAACCTGTATTATAGCACATCAACTAAGTCTGGGTAGTCTATGATGTATTGTATTTCTACTAACTTTTGGAACTAAGTTTTAATAAAATCTGTCCTGTGTTGCAGCTCACTGAGGGTACTTGTGGTTTATGGGGCTAATGACATCATAAATGAGAAGCCAGGGTTTGGAGCAAACACAAGTTTGCTCTCCGTTCATCTAAGGAAGGCTCCGTTGCAAGACAGTAGAAATCGCCAGGCTGGGAGCCAGCATCCTGCTTCAGCTCTCTTGCTTGCACTTGGCAAACCCACTTACTGCCCTCAGCACCCGTTTCCTTATCAGCAAAAGGGGGATCGTAATATCTCCCGGCTCCCGGGACTGCACTGAGAACTAGAAGACCAAGAGTGATTATTAAACCACAGGAGGACCATCCTTGATTCTGAAGGAGAGACCCGAGTACTGAGATCGTGGGCAAAAGGCGGCGCTGCTATTGCCGGAGGGCTTTGGGTTGGTGCTGAGCACTTCTAGCGCTTGTCGCGTATTCCTTTAATCCTCCCAACAGCCCTGTGAAGGAGTACTATTCTTACACTTTGTCTCAGAAGACAGAAATTCAGGCACAGAGAGATTAAAATCCAGTCCAAGAGCAGAAGCAGCTGGCCAGGACCAGAGCCAGCAGTCAGAGTGAGACGTCCAGCTGCAGGAGCCACATTCATGCCATGAGGCAGCCTGCACCCTCCCACTTCAGCCTTGCTATACCTCTCCTAGTTTTCCTTGAAATCACTTGTAAGGCTTAGCATACCTGAAGTCCATGCTATCACAGAAGTGTTTTCTGGGCTCTTTTTTTTTTAACAAATGGTTTTTCTCACCTCTGTTTATCATCTTGGATTTATTCTCTGCACGAGAGTTGCCCTGTTGTATTGTTTCAGCCAGCTGAGGGTGGTAACCGGATACACCAGCAAAACTATCGCTAATGAGCCACCCAAAACCAACACCAAAGCCAGCTGCACAGGCGCAGAATTGCAGCCAGTGAATGAACAAAGCACAAGGAGGGGCACCAGCACCCTGCAGCATCTGTGACTCCAGTGCACATCTGGTGATGATGCCAGCCCCTCACATCTCTGAGCAACAGCATTTCAAAGAAATGGGACCCTGTGAAAGTCCTGGGCATTGTCACTGACTCGAGAATGAAATACTCATATTTACCCCAAGTCTGCAACCCACCAGCACAGCCAGGGTGCTCTATCACTCTGTGCTTCTAAGGAGTCTTTGGTCTTGCAGCCACTTACCTGATCCTTCTTTTCAGCCTTCTCACAGCTCCAGGAAATGAACTGTCCCCCCCTAAAAAAGATCAGATTTGTGGGGACTCTGTGCAGACACCTCAGTACGGTAGTAAGAAGCCTGCGTTTGAATCTGAGCTCTGCCATGTACAATCTGGGTTGAAAATGTGTAGAATGGTGATGCCCACCTCATGTGGCAGCTGCAAGAATGAAGAGAGGTGATCCAAGTACAGCCATCACACATGCAACAGCCACTGTGTTTTCCACCATCGCCAGAGCTGCCCAGCAGTCCCGCCATGTGACCGTGTTTGCAGAATCCCTGCACCTGCCAAGGGTCGCCGCCCACTAAGACAGTCCTGTATGTGGCATGCAAGAATAGCTAGTTTCTGTAAAATATCAGGTGATGCTTTTCCTTGTGAAATGAAATGACTCCTCTCCAACATGCAGACTGTTATTACTTCAAACCATCCTGTGGTCTCTATCCTATAGCTAGACCTAAAGAAGAACTGAAGGTTTTGTTAGTGTCCTCGAAGTCACAGAGCTGTTAGTTAAAGCGTATCTTTACCTTACAGAGCGGAAGAGATCTGAGGTCTCCGCACACATTTTGACCCCTTGGGTTTTATATAGGTCTGCACCTGAAAGGATTAGCTTTTTATGAACAAAAGCCAGCCAGTGGAAGTCCAAGTTATTTAGGGTAGCATTACCCATCAGTATCATAGACACGTTACTTTGCTAGAATTCTCTCTCTCTCTCTCTCTCTCTCTCTCTCTCCCTCCCTCACACACACACACACACACACACACACACACGGTCCTCGCAATGTGAAGTGGCATTGGCCTCACAAGGGCCAGAGCTCTCACCACCAGCTGATTTCCTGCACAGAACAGATGCTGCCCCAGCGGTCCGCAGGTGCTGTGTGTGTGTGGTTCAAAATGTAAACCTCTGCTTCCCTTTAAGGGGCACTGGAAGCTGGGGATGGGGTTTCACAGAGACCTGCAAATGTTGCGCTCCTTCGCCACTGGGCTATGGCTGAAGGGAGGGGTGTGCGTGCTAAGGACCGGCCCAGGACCCTGAGCCGGCAGCCAGAAACAGTGTAGGACTCTACAAGATGAAGGGAGGACACTAGCAAGCAAGCGAGGAGAACATCTGTCCATGAGCAGGGATGGGTTAGAGGCCTCAGTCTCGCACAGGGTGGCTAGGAGCTGCATCAGGAACAGGACATCCGAAAGACTTGCAAGAAAAAAGTAAACCATTACATTTATTGAAAGGGAAAAAAAGGAAATTCACACACTCATTTTTGAAGGTTGGAAACCCCTAGAAGAGAATACAGACCATGAAAAGTAACAGAAAGGGTAGCGATTTAACTTGAGTAGATAGAAGAACCTGTTTCTGTTTCTTTACTCAACCTTGGTACTCATTTCTCTGCTGACGCTGCTTTTTGTTCTTAACACCAATTTCTTTAGACTCAAGGTTTTTCTCTGGCCCTGTTATGAGGTCATAACTCTTAGGTCTTGTTTTCCATGCCTTATGTGATGGGAGGTGCCCTGGCGCTTTTCCAACTCCATCATCATAATGCTACCTTCCTCCCAGATGGATCCCACTCTAGACTTGCATCTGCATTTCTGTCACTTATTTCCAGCAGGTGTCATCTCCCCTATAAGAAATAGTAAAGGGGTGGGCCCTGCAGGCAGCAGGTAAAGGCACCACCTGTAACGCCGGCATCCCCTACCCTGGCTGCTCCACTTCCAATCCAGCTCCCTGCAAATGTGCCTGGGAAAGCAGCAGAGTATGATTCAAATGCTTGGGCTCCTGCACGCACCTGGGAGACCCACAAGTAGCTCCTGGCTCCTGGTTTCGAATCAGCCCAGCTCTGGCTGTTGTGGCCATTTGGGGAGTGGACCAGCAGACAGAAGATTTCTATCTCGCTGTCTCCTGCTCTTTCTCTATATATAATTCTACCTTTCTTTTCTTTTTTTAGAAGATTTTATTTATTTGAAAGGCAGAGTTACAGAAGCAGAGAGTTCTTCCATCCACTGGTTCACTCCTCAAATGGCCACAATGGCTGGAACTGGGATGATCTGAAGCCAGCAGCCAGGAGGTTCTTCCAGGTCTACCATGTGAGTGCGGGGGTCCAAGGACTTGGGCCATCTTCCACTGCTTTCCCAGGCCGTAGCAGTGAGCTGGATTGGAAGTGGAGCAGCCGGGACTTGAACCGGCGCTCATATGGGAGGCTGGCATTGCTGCAGGCAGTGGCTTTACCCGCTGTGCCACAGCACTGGCCCCAATATACTCTGCCTTTCAAACGAATAAAGAAATCTTAACAACAGCAACAAAAAGAAATCGTAAAAATATCATTGCAATTTGATTTTTAATACCTTGAAAAAACTGTAATGTACATGAATGTGTGTATGTATATATGTGTATGCACAGACATTTCATTCCACAAGGTCTGCAATAAATACAAGGACAAGGAAAAAACACATTTAAATCTCCCTTTAGCTTATTATTATCTGCAGAAATAAGCCATCCTGTAAATAGCTGCCTTAACAACTAAAGCCGAGCTCTATTGTCCAGAGCTGGGATGAGCTGGATCCAAAGTCCCTAAGGACTGGACTGCAGGCTACATCAGAATTCCCTGGAAGCTCTGAGTACTTAGCCCCTAGGCCTGTCCCTGGAAGTTCTTGTTCTCAGGTTAGAGAAGGGGCCTAGAAGTTGAATTCCCCATCCAAGAATTGTTCCCTGACCCACTGCAGCCCCTGGCACGTCCCGGCAGGGGTTGCCGTCTCTGAGTAGGAGCCTGCGCGTGCCCGGACTCCAGCAGGCCCTGGGAGGGGTTGTGGGGAGGGGACAGGGCAGGGCACATGCGTTGTTTTCAAATAGTTGAAGTGCCAGCCCGAGAAGGGGGATTAGGCTTCCGCAAGGCTCTGGAGGGCATGCTGATGAAGTCAGGCACTGGGAGGCAGGTTTGCCCTCAATAGGAAAGAACTTTCTAACAAGCAGAGCAGTGGAACAATTGATCCCAGGAAGAACAGCATAATGGAAAGTGGGCCATAGCTGGAGGCAGAAGAACAGGGTGGATCAAGGCTAATGCAGGCTCAGTAAATGGGCTGTGTGGTGTGGCCACCCTGCCTCTCTCCATTGTGTAGACCCCAACACTTCCCTGAGCTTTACCTGACTGACCTGGCTGTCTTAGCCACAGCACTCATGGGGCAAGGGGCGGGGGGAGGGTGTTCTCCCTGTCCCCTGGGAGACATGCAGTGAATTGTGGAGGCCTGGTCGGTGGTCACAATGGAGTGGAGTGTTTGGAGGCCAGGAGAGCTGTAAGACACACAACAGTCCCACATCAAAAAATAATTTGGCCCCAAAAGTCCACAGTGCAGGCATTGGGTCAGAGGCGCTGTGCCAGGTACATGCTGATTGCCATCCCATACACACTGTCTGCCAGCTGGTGAGCCTTGGTACATTCCCGGCCTCCTCCCTGTCTCAGGGCCCTCCTCTGAGTTTGGAGGTGGATTAGCATTTATGGAATGATGGACATGTGACCACATCTGAGCACAACTTCCCAGCATGGCGGCAGCTTGCTTATTGAGTCTGGTGTCTCCAAGAAGCAGGCACGAAGACAAGGACTTGAACGACAGTATTTTACTTTGGAAGGATGAGTAACACAGTGAGGAGGACGAGGAAGAAGGGGAGGAAGAAGAGGAGGAGGAAACTTACATAGCAGGTGGCAGCCAGCTGAGAGAGAGCTGTGAAGACAGCCACTGCACTGGGCCATCGAAGACTAAACCCAAGGGGAAGCTGGGAAATGAGGTGAAACACACTCTGCAGGGGCCGACGCTGCGGTGCAGTGGGTTAATGCCCTGGCCTGAAGCACCCGCATCCCATATGGGTGCCGGTTCGAGACCTGGCTGCTCCGCTTCTGATCCAGCTCTCTGCTACGGCCTGGGAAAGCAGTGGAAGATGGCCCAAGTGCTTAGGCTCCTGCATCCACGTGGCAGACCCGGAAGAAGCTCCTGGCTCCTGGCTTCAGATCAACACAGCTCCGGCCATTGCAGCCATCTGGGGAGTGAACCATCGGATGGAAGACCTCTCTCTCTCTCTCTCTCTCTCTCTCTCTGCCTTTCCTCTCTCTGTGTAACTCCGACTTTCAAATAAATAAATAAATCTTTAAAAAAAAAGCCACACTCTTCAGGCTCATTCCACTCCAGTTCCAGAGTGCTATAGGGAACTTTTACACCAATTCCTCCAGCAGAGATCAGCAGTCAGAGCCCTTGATGTGACTGACAGATGTGAGCAGTCCACAATTACATTGGTTACAGCACAGAAGATATCATCCCTCTTCTACAGAATCCTAATGAAGAGGAAATCCTTCAGGTGGCTGATACATTCGTGTCTTGTGTTACTTTATATGACATTCAGCAGAGGAGTGGACCAGCAGGGATCTTGGGAAGATTCTGGGTCACTCACCAAATCTAATGAAAGCGGAGCACTAGGAAACAATGGACCCAGGGCAGCTCCGGTGCCAAGGACCCCAGCAGCAGGAGTTCTTGGACCTTGTCTTTAAGCACAGCAGTTGGAGACCTTTACTGCAGTCACCACCTGCATCCATGGTCAAGATTGAAGGGCTGGTGAAAAGGTTTTTTTTTTTTTAATTTTTTTTTTTTGACAGGCAGAGTGGACAGTGAGAGAGAGAGACAGAGAGAAAGGTCTTCCTTTTGCCGTTGGTTCACCCTCCAATGGCCGCCGTGGTCAGCGCGCTGCGGCCGGAGCACCGCACTGATCCGATGGCAGGAGCCAGGTGCTTCTCCTGGTCTCCCATGGGGTGCAGGGCCCAAGCACTTGGGCCATCCTCCACTGCACTCCCTGGCCACAGCAGAGAGTTGGCCTGGAAGAGGGGCAACTGGGACAGAATCCGGCACCCCAACCGGGACTAGAACCCGGTGTGCCGGCGGAGGATTAGCCTAGTGAGCCACGGCGCTGGCTTGAAAAGGTTCTTACTGATCTACCTTGATGCTAAGCTCATCCCCAAGGTCAGGGCTAAGCCATGTGAGACAAGTCTATGAGGAGCAAGTAGCAGCTCAAGGAAGGGATGCTGGGCCCATAAAAAGCCCGGGTTTTGTGTGGCCTTTCTGAATCTCTGGCCACCTGGCACATGTACTTTCTTATTTCCATGAACAGAATTTCAAAATGGAGAGCCTGCCCCTCTGCAATGGAAGAAAATCTGAAGTCTCATCTGGTTATGGCAACTGGAAGAAATGGAGCTGCTCTTCTCCGAGTCCACTCCCCTGGGTGACGGTCGTGTCTTCCCTAGTTCCATTGCTCCTTCCTCAGTGGTGTGTGATCCCACGTGGCCGTAGCAATGACCTGATTGGCTGTTTCACACCTCTCACCATGAGCTACAATTCCCCTTCCCATTGCTGAATATGAAAGAGAGGCTCATCTCTTCCACATGATCTTTCCACTGAAGACTGGGTACTGATCAGACAGATATAAGAGATTTTCATCATACTTATTTAGAGGAGACTATGGAGAGATTTCACTCCCAGTGAAAAGAGCGTTTCACCGGAGAACCTGATGCTCTTTAAGAACTTGAAAACCGGCCGGCACCGCGGCTCAGTTGGCTAATCCTCCGCCTGCAGCGCCGGCACCCCGGGTTCTAGTCCTGATTGGGGCACCGGATTCTGTCCTGGTTGCTCTTCTTCCAGTCCAGCTCTCTGCTGTGGCCCGGGAGTGCAGTGGAGGATGGCTCAAGTGCTTGGGCCCTGCACCCACATGGGAGACCAGGAGGAAGCACTTGGCTCCTGGCTTTGGATTGGCATAGCGCGCTG